CTTCTCTCCTCACTCCCAATCTGCATTCGGAGTGCGCCGCCGGACGAATGGACATGCGCAGTGCAACAAGCCGAAAACTTGGCTGCGAGTTTGCCGGAGCCATTTCCGTTCTTGAGCAGTGCACACCAGTCTGTCCCATCCCCGGCAGCCTCAGTCTCTGATGAAGAAGTGACAGATTTTGTTTGGGATGCAAGACTTAATCTGCGGAGTGACGACGTCATTCTAACTTGCAATTTCCTTGCTCTGAGCCCTATGTATCACCCCGAAATTCTGCCTCTAGCAGTGCGTGTACCTGGAGAGAGTGAGGACTTCATTCTCAAGGAGGTTCGTTCTGCTCTATGCAATCTCAGGCTCGAATTTGCGAGGAGTGTGATTGCCACCAAACCGCAGCTTCACCAGGGCTACGCCTCTGTCATCGTTTGTGGGGAATGGCTAGAGGTTTTTGGAGAGGCTGTTGTTGTCTTCGATTTCAGAAGGTTTGGTGAGCGGGCCTACGCAAAGCACCTCAGCATCGACGGTAGGTACTCGGACCTGACCCAAGAAGCATACGCTCTGGGTATTGAGAATTTCGATGTGTACCTTTTTGGATCCAACACTTGCCAGGAGGAGGGCGCTCCCTTTCGATCTTTGCATGGTGGAGTGATTCAGTTCGTTCCCGTAGGGCAGACACCAGTCTGGCAGGGATCTCTCGCGGAGAAGTTAATGGATCGCGAGGCTTGGTTTGCCTTTCCTCTGACAAATCTTTTCCCGCCCTCTGCCACATTGGTCTTACACGACTTCAATTTCCTTGTGCTGGATTCAGAGGATCTCCTTACCAAGCCTGTTGAGCCTCCCGAAAAGCAACAGGTGTCGTTGCTTCTGGACTGCGAGCAAGACAGCCTCACTCAGGAGACTCCCGCTCGGGGTGCACTGCAGGATATTGAGCTCAGAAGTAAGCTCTGTGCCTTCTGTGTTGCGGTTCAGAGTGCACCACCGCCATCGTCTGTTGCAAATCGGGGCTTCTTCATTTTCATAGATGCCAGGCAGGTTGGGCGTCTGCCCACTTTCACGTGGGTCCTGGAAAACCCCGTTGCATTGAGCTACCTCGCCCGTTTTGCCGGTGTCTTAAGGGTGCCACGGGGCTTTCACCTTTCGGTTTTAGGCCGTTTTACCGGTATCAATGGAGACGAGGTTCATGTCAGACACTGTGACGTTGTTGTTATAGGCTTTCGGGCTGACGGCGCGTCAGAGCAGGAGTCCAGTACCGATGGGGAATCCATCCCACCGCCGGACAGCGATGCCAGCAGTTCAACTCATGCCCCGGGTGACCCGGACCCCGGCAGTGACCATAAATCACCAGGTTTGAGTTCCTCAGCTGCCAGCACGGACCGAAGCCGAACACCCAGGCGATCGCCAAATGATGAAGGTCGTGAGCGCACACAACCTAATTGTGCTTGGAGGCAGGGTCCTTCCTCCCTCCTGGCTTCTGGCAGTGCTGCAGGGAATTGGGCCCGAACTGATGCTCCTGCCCTTTTGCCGTCCGCGGGAGCAGTCTTAGCCGTGGGACCTTGGCATCCTGACGAGCTGTGTCGACAACTTGATTTACCAGGTGTCCTTGAATATAAGGTTCCTCCTGAGTATAGGGTTAATTTAGACCCAGCCCCCGAAGACGTGCCGCATCCTGTAGATGGGGTAGGCAGACAGCCCTGGCAAAGGCTCCCCGGAGCAGCGGACGAAGCAGATCCGGCTGGCCCAGACCCGGAGCCAGACTCTAGCGAGGAAGACTCCAATGAAGACCTCTACTGTGCGTCTTTCCTCATCCTTATGCCGGATCGTATCCCTGAGCAGGTCGATGTCATGCTTTCCGGGGACGAAGGCCTACCGGAGTTGATCTATGCCCTTGACGATCAACGCAATGAGGATCTGTACCTTAAGTATCCCACCATTGTGCCGGCCTCGCCGCAGCCAGACAGACATTGGGGTGTTCTACTTGCGTTCCCAGCATGGGCCGACGCAGAGCATCTGGCGTGTGTCGATTGCAGAACGGTTGACGGCAGGCTCTTTGCCATGGATGTACCCTTCAGCGCCACCAAGGCACAGCTGTGCCATCTTGCAGGGATTGATGATCCCACGAACATCTCTGTTTTTGCGTATGGCAGCCGGCAGCCGATGACGGATGCTGATGAGATCGAATACACCAAGGCAGGCACCATTGTCTTCTCTACTTCGGACCAGCCAGGGCCCCCAAGCCTAGCGCTCTCGCAGATGCTTGCCCAGCCGCACTTGTGGGAATACGCACCCAACATGCCTGCCGGGCCGCCAGGTCTACACTACGGCTGTGTACTTGATGGCGGGACGCGCTTGATCACTGTTGCACAGGAAAGTGAGGACCAAATTGCGCGGGCAGCGGAAAGGGCAACTTGGTTCTCAGCGGATACCCTCGTCATCCAGAAACCAGCCCCGCGCGTTGACGACGTTGCGGTGCGAGGCTTTCACTGTCAAGATCTCCGCGCGCTATATGCTCGGGACGCAGGAGATCCACCCAATGAGCTCACTCTTGCGCTTGTAGATTGTCGGCCCTTGCTGCAAGGCTGGAGCACTTTGCTTGCAGACAACGGATATGCCAGACACTCTGAGCTTGTGACTCAATTAGAGATCTTTGCGCCGAGGGGCTGGCAGGCTCAACTCGACAATGTGGCAGTCACTGATGACTGGTTTCCCGTTCATCCAGGCATGGTGATTTCTGCGTCCTTTGTGCCCATAACTTCAGATGATGAGATTGTGTGCCCTGTTGCACCCAGTGACGATGACTTTATGGGTATTGATGCTGGATCCCCAATGCTGCCTAGGCCAGATCTGAGGTCTCCTGGAGCCACAGCTGACGGCGCGCTCTCTGAAAGCTCTTTGCGTTCCCGCAGCCGGTCTCCAGCTCGGCCCTCCCCTTCGGCGCCTAGTGACCAGGCGGGCGGCGCCTTTGTGCAGGGCGACGACGTTGCCCTTTCCAGTGATGTCTTGAGCCCGGAGGTGCCAGCACGTGTTGTCACTGATGAAAGAAGCCATGGCGCCCCAGCGCCTATGCTAGAGACAGAGGCCAGCGAGCCCGGGTTTGCTGCAGCTCAGATGCCACCAGACGCCACAGCTCATGTTGGTCTACGTGCCGGTGGCACTGATAGTGCGGAGACTGGTTTTGTGCAGACAACATTCTGGATCCTTGCGCAGGAACACGTTCCAGAGATTGTTAACGTGCGTCTTCCAACCTCCTCACCAGTTAGTGCTGCTCTGGCTCTAGTTGATGGCGCCAGAGCACCACACTTTCGTGATAGATTCCCAGTCCTGCGTGAGATATACCCACAGCCGTGGAGACAGCTTGCGACGATCCTCGCATGCCCCGCATGGGAAGCGTCTGGTACCTTCATTGCCGTCGATTTGAGTTGCATGGGTGGGAACCTTTTCTCGTTGGTTGTCCCGTCCGTAGCAACCTGCGAGGCGATCCTTTGTGCTGCAGGCCTTGAAGACTCTCAAGGATCCCACGTCTTTGTCCGGGACATCCCATGGGCGATCCCCCGAGAAACGCAGATAACCTTCCGGCACGGGGATCTTTTTCGGGTTGTCCCAATGCATCAGGAGCCCCCAGGAGTTCGGTCCCTTGCAGACATGATCGCAATTTCGGATTACTGGGACCCTGATTGGCTGCCACCGGGTGAATGGCAGCATGCAGTGTGGGTACTTTCTGAAAGGGAACACTTCACGTTCAGGCCCGCGCCATTCCGAAGCATGCAGATTCGTTCTGATATAGCAAACCGGCTGAGGGTTCCTGCCAGTCAGCTTCTCCTGCAGGCCGCCCGGCCATCCATCGATGACCATGCCCACAGAGGTGACATGACCAGAAATGTCGTCGTGGCATACACTCCGGAGCAGCCGCAGGGAATGCCCTTTCCGAACTCTACTATCTGCATTTTGGACCTCCGTGCGATACTTCTGGGTTTCTCTTGGTATGCACTACCGGATGGCGTTCTGCGTCCTGATGTGGTCGTAGCACGTTTTGGGCCAAGATGCCCGGCAGGTCACAATGTCGGCCGTCTAATGCCTGATGGCAACATCCATGATTTCAGCATGCCTACCCCCATCCAAGCAGGCGAAGTCGTATGTGTGGTCTTTTATGTCCCGCCCCCGACAGACCTGTCCAGCTCCGATGATGATCAGGATGGAGATGATGGGTTGCCGAGAAGTCGTGACGGTGATGACGGAGATGGGCCTAGCTCAGGCGAGGCCGACCCTCGAGAGGGTAGCGCAGCCAGTGGTAGCGCTCCGGGAACGTCGCTACACCCTGACGCTGGAACAGGGGGCTCCAGGACCCAGGGCCCTCACAGAGGTTTTCGAGGCTGGCTTGGTGTTGTAGTTGATATGTGGGGTTTGCTTTTAACGCATGATGCTTTTGTTGAAAGCACAGCAGACTTCACCCCTATATCCTCCACCAAGACACTGCCTGCCCGGGCCCGAGAGGCTCGATCCTAGCAAGCGAGCCCGTACAGCGCCTGCGAGACTCCACCGTGCGTGGCCGGTGCAGATTTAGCGCGTCCCTCCTCACTGCAATTGCTGTTTTCGCCCAGTCCACTCCCAGCGAGGCTGTTCGAAGAGGCTCGGAACAAGCGTGGGGCAGCGCAGGGCCCACCGACCTTGCCGAACTGAAACAGCCGTGTACCTTGTCTTTGCAGCAACTCCTAGAGGAGGGCAGCCACGAAATGATCCACCGCCACCGCCCTCTGCCCACCCCTGGCCGTGCGCAGGAAGGGCGAGCATTGCAACCAAGCTCGTCAAGTGTGATTAACCAAGACCCTGGTAATGTCCCTCCGGTCTCTCCCCGTGAGCCGCGTGATGTTTGGGGTGGAGCTCAGTCCTTGCATGTTGCTGCCTCTGACTCTCGGCGCCCCCGGTGTTTGCGTCACTGGCAGCCAGGGTTACAGGCTGCTAGACACTCACAATCTGCAGAAGAGGTTCTGGGTGAGGACCTTGACAAGGAGATGGCTTTCGGGGATGTTGCCCTGGGCTTCACTCCGCGACACCTGCACGCACTGTTCCGGCCCTGCTTTTGCAGCGTATCCCTGCAAGACATGCATCGTTGCTTGCAAGGCCCTTTGGCCCGTTTTGGCGGAGCCTTCGAAAAGCTCCTCGGCAGGCCAGCTGAGGAAATCCCAGATGGACTTGTCTGTTTTACGGATGGTTCATTCACTCCTGCCAAGCCCACAGAGGGACCCAAAGGTGGTTGGGCATGTGTCTTTTTTCGCAAGGAGACCGAGACATGTGATGTGTTCGCGGGAAGCATCCCGGAATGGCTGTGCCCACCGGAGGATCTCTCGGCCTTCAAAGCAGAATGCTGCGCTCTGATTGTAGGGTGTTGGCTTGGTGCCTCAGTCGCTCAGGGTTCGCTTTTTCGCATTTTCACGGACTGTCAGGCTGCCCGGTCGATAGCGAATGGCGAAGCGGTTGCCCACTCCGAGGGCATAGCCTACACCCTCAGCAATGTTTCCCGGTGTTGCCGCTCTGTCGCACAGGCGGCGCCGGAAATTGTGTATTCGCCGGGGCATGCTGATGTCCTGGGCAATGAAATAGCTGACATAGCAGCTAAAGTAGCAGCCGAGGGATTGCCTTTGGGCCAGCTTGTCTGGTGCCAAGAGTCTGGGCCTGACTGGTGGGCTGGACATGGCGCCAAGTGGGCGTGGGCGTCAGTTGTCTGCGATTGGGCACATGGTGATGAGGCCCTGCCCTCGCCTCTTGCAGAAGACATCCGGAGCCACCGGCACATGGGTGGTCTTGATGCTGTGCAAGCTCTAGCACCATTTTTGCCTGCCGTCAATTGTGACACAGAGACGTCTGCCAGTGGCAAGCTGTGGATCAGATTTGTCTCTTACAATGCACTATCCCTGGCAGCTGACAGACGTGGCCCTGCCGAGGAAGGCTTGGCTTTCAAACCGGCGAAGCCTGCGATGTTAGCGCATCAACTCGAAACGGCTGGAGTGTTGTGTGCGGCTATCCAGGAAGCAAGGACCGAAGAAGGGCATTTGAGCACTGGTTCATACCTGCGGTACTGTTCAGGAGGGCAGAAGGGCCACCTCGGCGTTGAACTCTGGTTCCAGCGTGGGGGCATCCTCGCCACTTTCCCGCATGAGGAACGGCAGCAGATCCGTTTCGAAGCCAACAGGTTTGTTGTGCTTTTCCGTGACCCTCGGCGCCTAGGTGTTCTCTTCAAGCAGGGTAGTTTGCAGATTGTTTTCGTTGCCCTGCATGCCCCTCACCGTGGTACTTCCCCCGATGATCTTGCAACATGGTGGCGAGCAACAGAATCGTTGATCTTCAAGGCTTCGAGTGGCAAATTGCTTGTTGTTGGAGCTGATTGCAATGCAAGCTTGGGTTCGGTTGAGACCGAACACGTGTCCTCACATGATGCAGAAGATCAGGATCTAGCAGGCGACCTATTGCATTCGTGTTTGAAGAAGTGGGGAGTTTGGGCCCCTGCAACTTGGGCCCATGTGCATAAGGGGCCCTCGTGGACTTTTGTGCAACGCCGCAACGGAGCGCTCGCACGACCCGATTTTGTGCTTCTCCCTCAGGAGTGGTCCGTGGGTCAGGTTACTACGTGGACATGCCCGGACATTGTAGCAGCAAATATGGTGCTGGACCACGTTGCAACAGTTGCCGAGGTTGAGGTGATTTTGCATTGTGCAGTGGGGTCGAGACGTGCCGTAAAACCGCGCATTCATGTGGCCGCTCTTGCAGATCCGGCCAATGGTGCCCGGATACAGGCCATTCTCGAGGCTGCCCCGCGACCTGACTGGTCAGTTTCGGCACACTCTCATGTGGCCACCGTCACCTCTTACCTCCAAAAGGAACTCTCTGCTGCATTTCCGCGTGTTGAGTGCGGCCCTTTGCACCCCTATCTCACAGCCGAGGCATGGGATATGCAGAAGCAAGTGGCTTGGTTGCGACGCAAATGTGCCGGAGTCAAGAGCATGCTGAGGCGCCAAACACTGTTTGCAGTTTTCGGGGCCTGGAAAGAGCAGCCGGGGTGTGCGGCTGATGTGGTCTCATCCCAATGGTTGCGAGAATATCAGGTTGCTGAGGCCTTGTACGGTTTTAGGTTAGGACTTCTGTCGAAGGCACTTCGGGCACGGTGTAAGTCAGATCGAGCTACGTATATGGCTGGTCTTGCTGACGCTGTGCAGGCCAATCGGTCTGATGCCTTTGGCGCTGTCAACAAGCTTCTTTGCCGACGCCGCAAGAAGCCCTTCGCACCGGCGGTCTTACCAGCGATCCGTGACAAGGAGGGCAAGACATGTGCCACTCCTGACAGCGCACGGCTCCGCTGGCGCGAGCACTTCAGCAGCTTGGAAGATGGTGTCGTTACCTCCTGTGAAAAACTTCTCTCCGGAGCCCTCGCCGATAACCAGCGACAGTGGCCTGATCCGGACTCTATCCTGGAGCTCCCGACGCCCCAGGATTTGCAGCGCGCCCTTTCCACAGCTAAGCGAGGGAAAGCTAGCGGCCCTGACACTGTTCCAGGTGAACTCGGTATTCTCTTCCCGGACGGTGTACAGCGCTTGATTTTCCCTCTTGCCCTCAAGTTGGGGCTGCTTGGGGAGGAAAGTGTAGGCCACAAAGGAGGATGCCTCACCTGGCTCTGGAAAGGGCGTGGCCCCAAAACAGCCTGTGAATCATATCGGGGCATATTGTTGCTGTCAAGCTTGGGGAAAGCGATACATCGCGCGTATCGCCCGCGCATCCAGCAGCACTTCACACAGACAGCCCCCGCTCTGCAGCTTGGAGGCAGAAAAGGCTGCAGTGTTGTGTTCGGTTCGCACGCAATGCGAACGTACATGAGATGGCAGGCATCTTTGGGGAATACGTCTGCAGTGGTTTTTGCGGACGTGTCCTCCGCCTACTATTCCACGGTCCGAGACCTTGCCTCTAAGCAAAATGATGTACCGACTGAGACAGGTGCAGAAGAAGCAGCAGCAGCCCTGGACCTTCAGGCCCAACTACAACTTCCGAGTGCCATGGAGCAGACCCAAGCCAGTCCATGGCTTCGAGCTCTGACTGCAGAGCTCAACAATGGGACCTTTATGTGTTTGCAAGGTGACGACGAACCAATCGCAACCCGCAGAGGTACGCGGCCTGGATCTGCATGGGCCGATCTTACCTTTGGGGTAGTGATGGCCAGGGTTCTGCGACTACGTGACAGTTGTAAAGTAGGCGTGTCAGGAGCGGCAAGTCCCCCACGTGTGCCCTGGGATGGGCACCGCCACTGGGGGCCTTTGGACGCATCCCGTGAGGAGATATGCCTCACGGACTTGATCTGGGCAGATGATTTGTCCACATGCTTGAACACCGGCTGTGCCGAAGATGTTGGAAGGGCAGTCACTGTTGAGACGGCCTCTCTGGCTGATGCCTTCGAGTCACATGGTCTGCAACTCACATTTGGGCCACGAAAAACCGCTGCCCTGGTTAGTTTGCGAGGACCCAGCTCTAAGAGAGTTGCTAGAGAGCTGTTTGGCGGGAAGTCAGAGCTCTGCATTCTGCGGGAGCATTCAGGTGCGGCTACCCTGCCTCTGATCGACAGCTATAAACATCTGGGTGTTGTTCAGGCGAGAGAAGGCAAAATCTGCAAGGAAGTTCGTGCGCGAATTGCTGCAGCATGGACAGCATTTCGTGATGGCAGAACCCGGATTTTTCGATGTCCTCGTCTGACTGTTGCACGAAGGGGTACGCTTCTGCGGACGCTTGTGGTCAGTAAGCTTGCCTTCGGTGCCGGGGCATGGCCACCATTGCAGCTAGGTACTAGACGTGCTTTTGCAGGTGCTCTGTTTTCTCTCTACAGAGCCACCCTTGGGCTTCGACACGATGACAGTCAACACATCACATATGCTGAGATCTGTGCCCTGCTCTGTCTCCCGGATTATTCCACTATTCTCCGGTTAGAACAGTTGCGTTACCCGCGCCAACTTTGCAGTGATGCCCCTGATGCCGTCTGGGCACTGGTACGTCAGGACGTACCCTTCCTGGAGCTCCTCAGGGAGGCCCTGGATTGGATTTATGCCCGTGTGAAGACGACTTGCACTCTGGGTCACCCGAGAGACGACGTTCAGGGTTGGGCAGACCTGGCGTGTCACCGCCCCGCTGCATACAAGGGACTTGTCAAAAGGGCACAAGGCCTTGAGCAATGCCGCATACAATGTTGGGCTGCGCTACAGGCGCTACACCGCACGGTGTTGCACCTGAGTCAAGGTGAGAGCCTGCAACGTTCGACAGATGCGGGATCCTTCACCGAGGCTTGTTTGGTCTGTCGGAAAGGTTTCATGAGCAGGTCAGCATGGGCGATGCACTCCTCAAAGAAGCACGGGTATAGAATTGCTGCGTCTACCCTGATTGTCGGAGTTGAGAAGCCTCTCTGCACCGGATGTGGCAAGCTTTTTGCGAATGCCGCAAGGTTGAGGAGACACCTTTTACATGCCGTTGACTGCCGGAAGCGATGGGGCTCCTTTTGCCTTGATGGGACTGCAGAGCAGATAGGGCCACACCTCGTTGAGCCCCCCTTACCTTGCCAAGGGATTAGGAGCGGTTTTAGCGAGGTCAGGGATCCGGCCAGCTATAACCGGGATCTTCTCAATGTCCTGTGTGGGCTCGCCCGGCCTAGTGCAGAGGACGTTTGGGATGCCCTCGTTGCCTGCATTGAGCCGCTGGATGTGTTGCGGGAAACATTGCGGATTTGGGTGCAAGAGTGTGCAAGCGACAGCCATGTTGCCGAGGTAGCTGCAGACGCCGAGCTCATGCTTGACCCGGTGCTGTGTTGTGATACATACTGCCACACCACATCCCATGTTCCTCTCACGGAATGTTGTCCAGATCTGCCAGGCCCTCTACCCTCTTCAATCCCTTTTGTTTTGACCGGCAGCTGTGCCACCTTTCAGGTTGATTTGCCTCCGTGCCCTGACTTTTGTTACCCTTTCATAGGGGGCGCTCCCCTATCGGCCGCAAAGCGTCAGGCTGCTTACGTCGAGGCTACATGCGACGTGTTAGGTGCTGCGGTCCAGCAGACATCGATCTCCCGTGTCCACATTGCAGTCCCTGCTCCTGCTCTTGCTTCTCTTGAACCAGCTTCGACTTGGCTTCTCTCAGCTGGCTTCATTCAAGGACATGGGGGATTTCACAGTCCTCAGGACTAGTTTCACCCGAATTTGTTTTGTGCAATAGGCGCGACCTACGGTCTCCAAGCCTGCAGAATGAAAAAAATACATATACATATATATATATATATAAACATATACATGCATGTATGTATGCATACATTCCGGAACCCTAAGAATTGCTCTGACTAAGCACTCCGGCCCACGGGAGCTCCCGAGGACCCGAAGAGGTTTACACCCTAAACAACACCCGAAACCAAAACCCCCGAAAACCCTCCTAGGATACCCAGTAACCTAAGAATAAAAAGGCCTCTCTTTTTGGTATTGGGTAACTTTATAAGGAACCTAGGACTACAAAAAGGGAATAAGGGTACTACTGGGCATCCTAGCCTCATACAGGAGTTTCCGAAAATAGGGGGACCCTAATATAGTACCCCCGAAATAGTAGGATCCTTATTATACGGACCCCCCAAAATAGGGTACCCCTACTTTCGGAAGATCCCATACAGGACTGCATATGTACTATAGGGGCCTAAATAAATAGAGGGCTCTATAAGGGATCTATAATATAGGGGCCTAAATACTACCTATCCTGCTTTAGGGCCTCCTTATTGTAATCATGGTATAATGGGCCCCAAAACTCTATTCTAATTATTCAGGCCCCTATATTCAACCCAGTATACAACCCTCATCAACAGGAAGGCCGTGGACCGAACCGGAACCGCAAGAACCGAACGGCGCAATGTTATGGTTCGGTTCACAGAAACCGTGCGGAAACGAACCGCGGCCGTACTGCAGCTTTCAGCCTCTGTAACTCCAATCAGAAACCCTTGCCAAACAAGCGAAACCAATGAAACCCTGAATCCTAAAACCCACACCCTAAACCTTAAACCTAGGTCTGGGAAGACGTTCTGAGCTGGAAGTATTATTCCTTAGGTCAACCAATCGAACACCACACTGACGGTGGGCAAGGAGAGGCCTCGCCAAAGAGGCAGACGTTCTCTCCTCGGATCAATAGGGTGCCCAGGTAGATGTCGGCGTAGACCTTCTCCTGAGCCGTTTCGGTGCTTCGGTTGATGATATAAATTCTGCATTACCCATAATGAGGAATGTACCATAATTCCCACAGCTTAGGGTCCTTCAGGTAATGCAGGATTTCTATTATCATCAACCGTCAGGGCTCCGTTTTAGGACGTGTAGAATTTAGGGCTCCAGGCTTCAATTCATTGAGGGCTTCCTTTTGAGGGCCCCTTTGGAAGGTTCTAGGCTGGGTTAGTAACCCTAAACCCTAAACCCTGCACCCTCAACCCCAAACCCTGACCCAAAAACCTCAACTTAGGGTTTTGGTTTTCGGGCTCCCTGAAGACTTGCACCCGAGGGATCCCGCGGACCTCCGAGAAAGCCCTTCTTCCCCAACAGCTGCCTCATAGAGCCCTAAACCGTAATGGGGGGGGGGGGGTTGCGGGTAGCATAATAATCATAATAAGGAACCCACGCAATGGTATGGGTAATCATTGAGACCTCTATATTCACCCACGAAAGCAAAACCTTGCCAACGAGGCAACATGTCACATGCCGACACTGTAACTGTAGAGGGCTCCTCAACATAATTTCGGATGTAAGGACTCGAAACCCTAAACCCTAAACACCCAACTCTGAGCTTTAGAACCTGCCTCGAAGAGTATGTGCCGCTCCACGATGTGCTCCACCAAAAGGTTGGCATACTGGTCAAAGGTCCTAGGCGGAACGGTCGGGTACCCTACAACCTAAACCCCCACCCCTAAACTCCTCCTAAACCCCCAAACCCTAAACCCTAACCCCTAAACTCCTCAACCCTAAACCCCCAAACCCTAACCCCTAAACTCCTCAACCCTGAACTCTAAACCCTAAACACTAAAACCCAAAAAAACCCTCAGCCCCGAACCCCCAAACCCTAACCTGGACACGAGTTGCCTCTCTGAGCCCCCGAGGCTTAAGGGCCCTGAAACGCTAATAAACCTTTGAAGGAGTCATGAGAGGAAACCCTTCAAAGAATCGAAACACCTCAAAGGAACAAAGCCGTCAACCCTGGACCCTAAACCCGGAAAGCCCTACAGAACCTATGAAGGAACTCAACCCATAAACCTTAGACCCTGAACACGGCCCTAAACCCGAAACCCTGAAACCCAAAACCCTTAAAGGAATCCTACTTTCAAACCTCATAGAACCCTTATCGAATGTCTAGCGGAACCTTTATCGAAGCACTGTAGAACCCTAGACCCCAAACCCCAGACCCTACAACCGCTAGTGAACCCGTTCAGGGCCAAAAAAACTAGAGGAAACCCTGAAGACCCTAAACCCTACAGAACCCCTATATGAACCCTAAACCCAACCCTCAAAGGAACCCCAACCCTTAAATTAAACCTAAACCTTAAGCCCCGCAGAACCCTCGAAGGAAGCCTCAACGGAACCCGTTTTTGGGGTCCGGACCGGGACCCCCTTTTAAATAGAAATACCATGAATCTCTATATACAAAACCTTCATATAGTCAACATCACTCTGAAGAACCCTGAGGGACCCCTAAACCCTAAACCGTATGCCATAGGGGCCTTAATAACATGTTGGGTGGTTCCTTATTATGTTACATTTATAGTCTAGTACAGGACCCTGCGACGAAGCCCAGGCCTCAGCCAGCCCAATAGCTTCCGACCGTCTCGGAGGACGATGAGTAGCTTCTTGTCGACCTTAGGGTAGTTCGGGGTTCAGGGTTTAGGGTTCCGGGTTTAGGGTTCATAGAATTTGTTTAGGGTTCATGTCTGGAGTTTTGCGCAGTGTTATGCGGTTTTGGGCGGGTTTCGCTTTGTGCTTTTGCTCGGTTGATTTTGATTCGTTGGTTGCTTTGCTGGGGATTAGACTTGCTAAACAATTTCTAGTTATCCTGGGCTTGAGGGTTTAAGGTTCGGGGTTTAGGGTTTACGGTCAGGGTTCAGGGTTCGGGGTTTAGGGTTTCGGGATGTGAGTTCCTACAAAGAGTTCTTTCCAGGGGTTACTTTGAAAGGGCTCCTTTAAGCCTTCGTTGAAGGGTTTATTTCAAAGGGGTTCCTTTTCAAGGGGGGGTTCGTTTAAGGGGCCCCTTTCGGGTTCTTATAATGCTTGTGTTTTGGGCTTATGGGGCTTACGGGGTGTGTGGGGCTTCTTGTCGAGCTTTTGGTGGATTTAGGGGTGCAGGGTCCTGGGGTTAGGAGCTTTTTTTGTCTATGGGCTTAGGCTTCAGGTGTTAGGGCTCAGGGGTACCGGTACAGGGTTTGGGGTTCCCACTAGCTTTATCACCATCTACAAGCACTACTATTTCACGAAGCCTACTACCGCTTGATTGAGGGATACGGTGAAAGACCCGTCTACAATCTAAGGCACAGTACTCTACGTAGGTTCCCAGTAGCCGCCCCTTGATAGTGAGGGTACCCAAGAAATAAGCAGGTCAAAAGGGCAATAGCTGGAGAACTCAGTACATGGAAGGGTATGAGTCTGCAGCTCTGAGGGCAGCGTGGTCAGAACTTCCCCTCCTCACGGCCACGCAGTCTCAAATCCCACGGCAAAGCCATGAGGACGGTTGATGATATAAATCCTGCATAATCCAAAATAAGGAATATACCATAATTCCCATAGTTTCGGGTCCTTAAGGTAATGCAGGATTTATATCATCAACAGTATCATCACAGCAACTTTGAAAATCCTCACGCGAATCCCTTGTTCACGAAGCTGAAGCCGGATACCAAAACCAACAAAGAAGATAAAGGGCTTTAGGACCTTCGCATCTCATGGATTTCTGGGACTCAAAACCCTGAAACCCTAGAGCCCCAAACCCGGAATCCGAAAGTGAAAGGGCTTTCGGGCTTAGGGCGGGTCTCATGGTGCCACAAAGACGCATTCTCCTCCAAGTTGCTGGCCCAGTGGGGCAGCTTACCCGGCTTCAAAGCCTTTGCAGGACGGGGTTCAGGGTTAGAGGTTAGAGGTTTACGGGGTGAGGGCCCCAAACCCTACACCGTATACTATAGGGGCCTTAATAATTAGCTATACTATTTTGGGGGTTCCTGATTATACTTATAGTATAATATGCCCCAAAACCCTATTCTGATTACTAAGGCCGCTCAATTAGGCCAGACTTTGGGCAAGCTCCGGGCCTGGGTGGGTCATCACCATCAATGAACTTAGAACCCTAGCAAAAATTATAATTTTAGCTGTTTCTTAGGGATTATAATAACCAAAAATTAACGACTATTTCTAAGTACCCCTAAGATCACTGGAAGAAGGCCAAAACCGCACCAAGTCCCTGCAACTGAAACTCCCACCTAAACCCGAAGATCCCGCAAAAAAAAAAAAAAAACATGAAAAAAGCATCCGTCGTAGAAGCCGGAGTAACGGGCAATGGAATGGTATCGCCGTAAACTCCCCTTGCTTGAAAAACAGAATGTTACCCTCGAGGCCTATTCCAGCCAGGAAGGCCCCGAAAAGAATCTAGGGGCCTTAGTTTTAATACGGTTTTGGGGTTCCGTTATAGTACAACAAAGATAGCCAGGAACCCCAAACAATAGTATTGGTAATTCTTCAGGCCTCTATGTTCTATAATCCTAGGCAGGGCACGGCCGGATCCGGATCGAAGACTGGAACCTCCATGGGCCCACGGAGATCATGCCATGCCTAGAGGCTCCAAAAAACACCTCAATTGAGCAATGTCGAAGGAAAGTATGAACGGATCATTGCTTACTTGATTGTACTGTGATTTAAGGTCTCTGCGTGCGTGTGTATACATATGTATATATGTATATATTGTATATATGTATATATGTATATGTATATATATATATATACATATTCACACATATGTATGTGTATATACACAGGTATCTATATATATATATATATACACTTATGTGTGTGTGTGTCTTAGCGGAGGGATCTTGAAGTCTCTCGGTTGGTGTTTTTGCAGGCTGGGCCAGGGATCTTAGTACCAGTAGACATGCGGTCAAGTTGGGAGACTTAGTCCTGTTTCGGGCTGTGCAGGTTCGGATCAACCATACCCAAAGCCTCAACCCTAGACTCTAAGCGAATCTCGAGGTCTCCTCCTTTCTTTTCTTAGAGTTGTCATCGCCGCCGTAACGGTGGAAAGACTGTCCGCCTCCCTGTAGCTGCATGGGTATTTCCTTCGTGTTGGACGCTTAAGGACTTAAGCTAAGGACAAATGCTCCGGGTGGGTTGTGGTGGGATCTATATCGAAGTCCACGGACGTGACGAACTCTCTTACGCAAAAAAACTTTGACGTCCGTCCTACATTCTTTTTACCGCAACAGTTTGGTCGACACACCTTAAACCCTAAACCTGAAACTCTAAAACCTAAACCCTACACCCGAAAACCCCAAACCCGAAACGATGCATGCAGATGTTGCCTGCAGTCCCCAAACTCCTGGTGCCGAGATGCCGCGGCACTGATCAATCGTAGCAACAATCGGCTCTTCATAACTGCTCGGAGCGGTGTTTAATGATCGGGGATTTACACGTACCCGTGGACCAAAGCCTCAAACGGACCGAGCAGAAAATCTGAGACTTCAACACTCCAAAGCTGGGAACCCAACATACGGGGCTGGGGGTGCTGCAAGGCCTCTATGAGGATGACTATAAGGATTCTATGATAGGGCGGCCCTCATTACGGCAAGATTCTTCTTGGAGCCTCTCTTGGGCTGGGGACTCTCTTCTTGGAGGCTCTCCGAGGGCAGGTAGGGCCACCAAGACCCCTCCCTGTTCGAACAGGAGGGCTTTTGTGTAGAGCGCAGAACATAGTAGGAACGATCTTGGTAACTACTCAGGTATCTCCTTCAACCATGCAGAATCGGGCCCTGAGCCCTAAACCATAAATATAGGGGCCCTAGAGCAGTTGACCATAGTTTCGGGGGGGGAGGGGGGGCACGTTCTACTACCTGTACGATTTCTGTGCCATTAAGGCCCCCATATTGATTAGACTGGGTAAGAAGGTCACCCTTCCGAGTTTAGGGTTCTGGGTGGTGCTTAGCATAGAGATTGATCTTTACTGCACCGAAACCCTACAGCCTATAATACCCTTCAAGGAATCCTAAACATGTAATACCGGCCTCTACTATAAAGGAGCCCCCCTGAACGGCTGCAACTTATGATGGAAAGTGGGGGGGGGGAGGGGGGCTCCCGGGCTCCCTCAGGGGGGGGGGTTTCGACTTTCAGTGCTCGGGCCTCTCTTCGGGTTCGGGGTTTAGGGGTTAAGGTTTTTAGGGGTTTTTAGGGCCTCTCTTAGGGGTCTGCCTGAAAACTCCCGGGGCGGCCCTTTTGCTCTCACTCGCACGACACAGATCCGCTGCGATAAGACTTCTCGCCAATCCGAAACTCGTACCGGACGTCCTCGCTCCGCGCATCGACAGCCACCGACACGGCCTCTTGGGGTCTTGGGCGGAGTCTTAACACTGGGATGACACAAATATCTTCCCAATCAAAAATATTCCTGGAATCGCACGGTTGATCTAGCTAGAATGCAAGGGAATATTTAGCTGGGATCAAGGGTTACAATCTGGGAGTCGCCACTGCAGAAGAACTCTGAACCCCGAGCACCCTGAACCGCGAAGACTCATAAACTCTGAACCAGCGAAGCCTCTAAGTAACCCGCACTCCACGACCCTGCAATCCGGAACCCCGAAAAGACGAAGCTGTGAGATGCTGTGAGGCTGTACATCTCTGAAGCCTGCGAACCGAACACGAGTGGGTTTTGGGGGGGTTTCCATATTGTAACTATAGTAAGTATACCGTGGGTGTTGGGGGGGTTCCTTATTGTAATCGTATAGTATGGCTTAAGAAACCCCGAACCCCAAAGCCAAAACCTCAAACCCTCGGCTCGAAACCAATAAAGCCCTGACCCTTCGCGGTTTTGGAAAATCTGTTCATCGAAGCCCTGTAAGCGCCCATAGATCCAGAACCTTCAACCCTCAAGTCCTAAAATGCCTAAACCCTGCAATTGTAGAAACCCGAAACCCCTAAAGCGTTAAGCCCTACTACTGTACCCTGACCCCCCCCCCAACAACAGTCAAGTCGCCAGCTTGCCCGAATAGTCGACTTGCTGCCACGGCAGACACAGCAGGTAATGATTCCAGGAGGTTTCGTCTCGTCTGGTGTCCAGGTCCTTACACATTGGGGTGTAGGGTTTGGGGTTTAGAGGTTTAGGGTTGAATCAGAAGGGCTTAGAATGCAGGCTTGAGTCATACCAGGTGCACTGAGAACAACAGCCTATAACTAAGCAATAACAAGGATAGACACAGCAGAGACCAAACACCAAGCAGCATCGACCCTACAGGAGAAGCAACACACAAACAACCATCTTCCCTAAACCGTAATCCTCCTGTGCTAAACTCCAAGCCCAACAAGCTTGTAAATGTAAACTTAAGCCGCAAACCCGAAAACGAAGGACGAAATCAAACACCACAATTTTCTTCTGTGTTTGCTGGGCCCTAGGTTCGCAGTAAACCCTTACCTCGAACCTTCAAAACCTACTTGGTTGTAGGATCCCTGAAAGTTCGAAATCAGCGTTGATAATGATAATGGCTAAGAGATAGCACAGCTGGCTTTCATGCCTTGATAAGGAAACCCAACATCAAAAGGAAGCAAGAAGAGACCCGAAATCCCAAACCCCCACCCAGAACTCCAGAGACGAAACCGTATAAAGACAGCTATTGGGAGTTAGGACTAAGGAAAAAGCCAGAAAGTTGGAATATGATTATCCTAACCCTTCTATGGTAAATTATAGGGTATCCTACCATGAAACCATATTCCAACTTTCTGGAGTTCCCTGTAGGATTAAGGGGACCCTTGGGGATAAAGACCCTCTCAATAAGGTCCCTTTTAAGGGCGCCAGAAGTAGGGTTCAGAAGGGGTACCCTTTAAGGGGACTCTCAAATAATACTACCCTAAACCCTAAAACCCTACAGCCATATACGGCGCGAAACCATTAAGCCCTAAACCCTGAAACCCCATAACCCTATACACAACCCTAAACCCTTAAAGCCCAAAGCGATAAACGCTAAGCCCAAACACCGACCCCTAAAACCCGAACCCGACAGCATCAAACCCTGTTTAGGGCCGAGAAGCCACGCCGGGGCAAAGCTGAGCCCGCATGGACAGCAGGACGCCACCCACCTGCTTGGGGTTTAGGGCTTTAGGGTTTAGGGCTTAGGGGTTTAAGGGTTTAGGGCTTAGGGGTGCAGGGTTTAGGGAGTGTATCGGGCTTCAGAAGGCCTGTGCCGGGCTTTACGCGGGCTTTACAGGTAAGGCGTTCGCAAGGCTTGGAAGAGTTTTTACACCGGCCACCTGTGCCGCGAAGCTCCGACTTCCACTTGCTGGGCTTGGGGATGGGGGATGATAGGGCTCAAAGTTTAGGATTAAACCTGGTGTTTAGCGAGATTTCTGCGTCGGGTTTAGGGTGAGCTTTCTGGTGGTGTTGAAGGGTTTCGCTGGGGAGGAAGCTTCCCTTGAGCAGCAAGACGCTGAGAAATCCATGTCCACTCATCCCGTCGTTAGCCCTGAGCCGTAAACCCAGAAAAACACATGTGCTCAAGCCGACAAACTCCGGACAGGTTGCTGCCTGCGATCGTTTCACCTTAACAACCGGCGGGAAAGCCAAGTACCTTAGTTTTAAACCCACACTAAATCCTAAACCCTAAACTTCAAACAGGCCCTAAATCCTAAACCCTAAAACCTAAATTTTAAACAGGCCCTAAATCCTAAACTCTAAACCCCAAACTCCCAAAACCGTCGCCTCGAACCCAGCCCCTCAACAACAATTCCCAAATAGCCCCCAACTAGATGTAGATCCCTGATTCATCCCTCGTTTCTCTGACATTGCCACCCTCAAACCCCGAAATCTCTAAACGCCTCGACCTCAAAACCTATAGCCGTAAAACCCGTATCACCAAAAGACGCTCGACGACAACAAAAACAATGAACTCAAACCCTACTGTAAACGTCCACACACGGCCTCCGCACAAGGCGGCACTGAGAAGGTAAGGTGGCGCTTCTGCTGAAGTTGAGATTCAAGCCTTCCCGGAAGCCTAATATAGAAGGGCTTTATCAATTCGAGTAGGGTTTTGGGGTATATCATACTATGACAACAAGGAGGAACCCGAAGGAATACATGTTGGTAATCATTGAGGCTTCTGTGTTGAAAGGATACCATAAGGGCTGCTATGCTTGTGAGAAAACTTTAACGGTTGCCATCAGGTTATAAGGGTGCTGAGGGTGCCAAAAGGGATTCTACGTGGGCTTTCTTCCGTGGGTTTTCTAAGGGAGCTATGCGAGACTGTAAGGGTATTTCAACAACGGTACCAGAAAGTACTACTAACTACAACGGTATGAATTATGAGGGTAGAGCAAGGGTACAGTAATGGCAACTACATGTTCTTTGGGGGTTCTGCAAGGGCTCCTTGATCATGAGTGCCCTATAATAATGGCTGTAGTTAGTTCTGCTGGTGTTTATGTCCTGAGCTTTCGGGCATGTGGAGGGGCTTCGAGGGGCCTGCAGCTTTACGAGTTTACAGTAGAAGCCCGAAAGTTGGAATATCATTATCGTAACCCCTTTAGGGTAAATGATAGGGGATCCTACCATTTTATCCATATTCCAACTTTCTGGAGTTCCCTTTAGTAAGGTGTGCTTTCCGAGGGTTTCGGAGCCTCTGCGCCACCAGGTTTTGGGTCGATGGCTTTGGGGCTTCAGGGCTGTGGAGCTTTCGGGCCTTAGGATAGGGGCTGATGGCCTGGGCTTCAGGCGTTGTAATATAGGGGCCTTAATAAATAGAATAAGCAAGTGGGGCCCATTATCGTATAAATGTAATAAGGAACCCCAAAATAGTATTGGTAATCGTTCAAGCCCCTATAGTAGGACATTTGGGGGTTGAGAAAAACTCCTGGATAGACTCCCAAGGCGCCGGCGTGTCGGCACCTGGGGAAGAGACTTGTTCTTATGTTTCAGTTTTATCTTTGCTTTTTGGAGGAGGGGATTTGGGTGTGGGTTTGGGGTTTAATAGGGCTCTAAGTAAGGTTTAAGGCTTCTCTTGAACCTTTTACCCAAAATCCTAAACCCTGAACCCTTTTGCTGCTTTTGATCTTCGGCTTTTCTAGGTGCTCGGCTCGGAAGCTTCGGGTTCGGAGGTTTCGTTCGGGGTTAAGGGCTTACTGTAGGGGCCGTAATAATTACAATAGGGTTTTAGGGTTTAGGGTAGAATGAAGGGGCCTTAATAACTAGGATAAGGCTCTGGGGTTCAGGGTTTAGACACGCTGCACCCAAAACCCCGAAACCCCCAAAGCGCCAGACCCTAAGACAGACCCCGAACCGACCCATGCTCCTAGGTTAGCAGATCTGGATAACATGGCTGCCTTTAAGCAGTACAAGCTTTTCCGGCATATTCGAGACAACCATAACCGGCAGCCCATACCTTAACCCCACGTATCCTACCTTTTTAAGGACTTACATAAAGAAATCATATTAGGGAACCCTAAAAAGGTAGGCTCCTTAGGGTCCAGGTAGAACTCAACCCTGAACTCTTGGCCCTACACGCTGAACCCGAAAGCCCCAGACTCCAGACCCTAAACAGCTTGAGCTTGCCATGGCGCAGGAAAAGTCGAACTCTTCCCACATCCTTGGCTCCCCAAAATCTTCTGAAGGCTCAGTTAGGGCAATGTAGGGGGCGCCTATAGTACAGTATAGGGTTTAGGGTTCAGGGTTCAAGCTTTCGGGTTTAGGGGCTCAGGGTTTAGGGTTGAGGGGTGCTCGCGGCACCCGTGTCTCCTGCAAACTCTCCAAAACCCGAGACCCGAAACCCGTAAACCCCGCATCCGAAATACCCGAACCCGCACCCCCCTAAACCCTACACATCCGAAATGCCCGAACCCTTAGACCCCAAACCCTAAACCGGGCAAAAAGTGTCCTACTGAAGAGCCCGAACCCCCTAAACCCAAATCTTTGAACCCTAAACCAGTACTAAACCTAAATCCTACACCCTGACCGAACCCTTAAACCCTAAGCCTAAACCTTCGAAAAGGAGAACCCTCACCACACCCACATCCTACACCCTGACCGAACCCTTGTACCGAGCCACCCTAAGCCCTAAACCTTGAACCCTAAACCCTAAACCCTCGTACCCTAACCCTGAATAATCTAAAAAGGCTACTACCGAAGACAGCCGGACGAGCCGAGTATCTGTGGAGGAGCCAGCTCCAGGCTCTTTGGGAAGTTGCGGCAGTCGTAGAGACCGGTCGGCAGCCTCTTCAAAATGGTCTTCCAAAAACCTAAAGTAGAAGCCAGAAAGTTGGAACATGACTTTAGGAGGATTAGTGCTAGGATCCCTTATACTTTACCTTGAGGCCATGAGGGTCATGATGTTCCAACTTTCTGGCTTCTACTGTACGGTGTTTGGAGCTGAAAGGTTTGAGATTTAAGGGTTTAGGAGTTTGGGGGTTTAGGGGTTTGGGGATTTCATGGGGTTTAGGGCTGAGGGCAAAGGGCTGCTGGCAGGGTTGGGCAGGGGGTTATGTTTAAACCGTTTAAACGCACCGATGGTTAAACGCCGAACCCTCTCATCAGCCATGTTCAAACAGGTCTAGACCATGTTGAACCAAACACGACGTGGATTGTTTAGACCTACGCGCCCAGGGCGAGGTTAGGGGCAGGCCTGGGCCCAGAGCCTTTGTAAACCCTGAGCCCGACGCCTTGGACTCCCAGACTCCTACCCTTGGCCTTGAGCCTGAAGCACACATCCCGAATGTGTTGAAACCCATGTTTAAACCCATGTTTAAACAGTTCTGTGAGTGTCGCACATGCCGAATGTGTCTAAACCCACGTTTAAATACATATTTTACCAGTTCCTTATGTGACACACATCCCGAACGTGATTAAACCATGTTTAAACGCATGTTTAATCACACGTTTAAACAGTCCCATGAGCGCTGCACATGCTGAACTTGTCTAAGCACGCTGGAAGCTGATCCCGGTGAGACACATTCCGAACATGTTTGAAGCGGGCATTGGCGCAAGTGTTTTTGAAAATGTTTAAACGCCGCTCTCCAAATGTTGAAACCATGGTTTAAACATCTCAATGCGACGACAGTGTTTAAACAAATAAACAAACATCGACCCACGCGCTAAACATGTTTAAACACGTTTAAGTTTAAACCGTTTAAACTAAAACGTGTTTAGCCCGACCCTGGCTGCTCCGGCGAAGGGCTAGACGTAGCACCACTCCTCCTGCGGAGCTTGGCACAACCAAACAGGGCTCAGCACTGAGGGTATAGGACGAGGATTCAATGTTCGGGTTGAACCCTAAGCTCGCACCACTGCTATCAAGATTCTACATGTTGCTAGCCCAGCACTCAGGGACGCTCTACCCCCCGAATCAATGGTCTTCGGAACTAACAACGGGCTCCTTGGCACGGGCTATTGCAGTGTAATACAACTGTGGAGAGACCAGAAGGGGAACCGTACAAACTATTCTGACCCCTGCATTAAACTGCTCCGAACGTTCAGCAGATGAGAGGCTTCCATCCGTGACAGGCCTTGTCGGGGGCTTCTGCTTTGCACTGAACGGCAACCGTCTTTTCTCCGAAACTCCCATTTGTGTTCGTAGTTGGTGCGTGCATGACATCTTCAGTGCCAAAGGGAGCCATGGATGCCTTGTGCATCCAAGCGATAATTTCAAAATTGGAAAACCGACCAACATTAGCAGCCACACCGCGAGCTTAAAAAAAGATCCCTGGCACAGGAACCATGAAAGGCTCCTTGCAGGGAGCCCCTGGCATGAATTAAGATGAAGAAGAGCACAGGCGACGCTAAGCTAGAGTTCTAATTCTGGCTTGCTTGTGTGGTCGCTGGGGGCTTGATAACCAAGAGGATTATATGTATATATATATATATATATATATTTTTATTTTTTATATGTATACATAAAAACAAATACATATATATATATATACATGTATAGACTTCGTGCCCCCTAAATCCTATACTCAGAACCCGCGTTGCGCTTTTTCAACAGAAAGAACAATTGTTGGTGTTGGGGCCTCACAACCTAGAACAGCGTCTCGAAATGATTGAAGCACAGAGCATAATTATTCCGACGCGAGAAGGTAGTCTGGGACAAATTGAGGCCCGTATGCTACATTCCCCAATTTCGGGCCTTTGGCTGGGACCCGAATCCGATGCTTTGGGTTTAGGATTGGTTGAAAGTAAACGCTAAACCCTAAAAGCCTACATATAAAAGATACACCCTAAAACCTCGAGCCTCTAAACCCCTAAACGCCAAACCCTAAAACTCTGAACCCAAGTCGTTGGGACTCACCGAGCTCTCCCTCGTGGCTGCACCAAATCCTTCAAGCACGTCGGCGCAAATCGCAGAGGTGGATGCTGATCATACTCCGGCTCATCATCCCCCCAAAACATCCAAGTGAAGAAACCTGGGCGTTATCGTTTAGGGGTTTAGGGTTTAGGGGGCTCCTGGTCACCCCAAAACATCCAAGTGAAGAAACCTGGGCATGTCTGAGGTTGTGCACGCTTCAGCAATCCCGATCATACAAGGCAAACCCGATCTAATGCCCGCAGATGCTCTCTGAAGCACAAGCTTTGTCGGGTTCAAGCTCTAGGGACTTTCTGCGTTTTACAAACAACTATACGACCCTGTGGAAGCAGCGAAAAGCGCGAACGAAAATCAAGCTCTGAACCCTGTCTATGCATTCCTGTTGGACAACCCTATACAGACAACACAGGCCTTGCGCAAAACCCCCTCCTATGGAAACCAAACTTAAACACTCCCGATAAACTCGAAGCCCCAAACCCTGGATTGGTGCGAACCCTCATGGATGACATCCTAAAACACTATGGACACCTCCCAGCCGAGTTCAATTTTCTGACAGGCACTCACAACGAAAAACTATGCGCCCCAAACCCCAACCCCTAAACCCTAAGATACGGTTGATGATATAAATCCTGCATTCACCATGATAAGGCATATACCATAATTACCATAGTTTCGGGCCCTTAAGGTAATGCAGGACTTAGATTTTCAACAGTAGGAAGCCTAAGACATGGGTAGTTGTCAAAATTATGGTCCCTTTTTGGGTACCCTAAATATTAGGTGCCGTACTATAATAAGGACCCAAAAAGGGACCACAATTTTGACAACCACCCACCTTAAACCCTAAACCCTAAACCCTAAATCCTAAACCCTAAACCCCAAATCCTAAACCCTAAACCCTAAATCCTAAACCCTAAACCCGAAACCCTAAATCCTAAACCCTAAACCCTAAACCCTAAATCCTAAACCCTAAATCCTAAAAGGCTTCCCCCCATTTTCCAGCATTCGTCGCCTCCCGAGTTGCCGTCCCGGCCCGTGCACCAGCCAGACTCCTCTCTCTCCTGAGCCCTCACCTGCAGGGGGTTCGAGGGTTTAAGGGTTTAGGGGTTTTAGGGTTTGGTTTTAGGGTTTAAGGGTTTAGGGGTCTAGGGTTTAAGGGTTTAAGGGCTTAAGTTGGGGGGTTTCAAGCTGTGCTTCAGCAGAAGAAAGAGGCTTTAAGGTATACCGTGGAATAAAGTTGGAAATTGTTCGGAGGGTTTGGGCTCTGTTTAGGGGCTTGGCGTTGGAAGGGTTCGCGTTTTTTAGCTAGGGGTACCCAGGATTCTCAACTCCAAACATCTCTAGACCCTAAGCTGCTTCCGGTCCTAATGGTCCTACACCGAAACCCTAAACTTAAGCCCTTAAACCCTTAAACCCCAAAGCCCTAAACCCTTAAACCCTGAAACCCCTAAACCCTTAAAATCCCCTTTCCCCGAAGCCGCCAAAGAAAGGCCCCGTCTTTTCTGAGACTGGCGACCTCGTCTCGGTGCCTTGCTTCCGCGTTTCGAGGTTTAGGGTCGAGGGTTTAAGGTTTGCGGCTTTAGCTTCTTTTTTTTTGAGCTCCTTTTTCCTAAAGTCCCAAACTGCGACTCAGGGTTTAGGCTTTTGGGTTTTAGCTGGACCCTACAAAACCTGACTTCCTGATTATATAAGTCCTTCACGAGGCAAGGTAAATAAGCTATTTGGGGTCTAGGTAGGGCTTAGGGCTTAGGGGTTGGGGGGTTTAGGGTTTAGGTTTTAGGGCTTAGGCTTCGGGGTTTTAGTTGTTCTGCTTGGTTTTCGCGATTTGGGGCTTTGGGCCTCAAGAGGGTCCTTTTGCGGCTTCGGGCTTCAGGGTGCGAGGCCACCCTACTCTTACCTTTGGTTAAAGGGGTCTATAAGGGTTACTATAAGGGATCTATAAGGGTACTATAATATAGGGGCCTTCAGAATCCTATAGCTTACCTCTGGTTAGTAGGGAATGGATACCCCCCAGAAGCAACCTTGGCAAAACCCGACAACACCCTTGCAAAATCCTTTCAATCTCCTGAAAAACCCTAGGCGAGAAGAGAATATAAGACCCTAGACTAGAAGAGAATATAAAAACCCCTAAGCCCTAGACTGGAAGAGAATATATAGAACCCTTACTTTAAATCATTGCAGACCCGTTTACGAGATCCGCCAAGAGGCATCTCCAGGGCCAGGCAGTAGAGAATCGTGTCGCCGATCACGTCAAAGACACCCATGAAACTGATGCCTACTGCCAAACCAAGCACGGCAGCGACGATCACGACGACGTCCGGCTCCTGTTGGGGGTAGCCAATCGGTATCGCAGGAATACGGCTGGATGAATGGATGGATGGATGGACGGATGGATGGATGAATGCACGAGCGAATGAATCGGCGAACGAAGGTCTGCATACATACAAACATACATACATACATACATACACACACACATGCATGCATAAACTTCCTTCTGTTCTCCGAGAAGCACGGAGGAGAATACAGCTGAATATTCGCTCTATGCAAAATAATCAGCTGTTGGGCTCAAGGTTCGCGGTTTGTGGTTATTTGAGGGATCTGGGGCCCCTACCCCGACCCGAACCCCGATCCCGGGGCTCCTTCAAGAACATGTCATTGGCGGGATCTGTGAACTGAGGATTGCTGTGCACGGTCACGGCCATGTACAAGGTGGCCACCCCGGTCATCAGCAGCAAGCCCCCGAGCCTAAAAAAGTACGGGGTTAGGGTTCCTTTAAGGATTCCTTGTATAGGGGTCTATAAGGATATTACTATAACAGGTATTATGGGGGTTTCGGGGTTCAGGGTTTAGGGTCTGGGGCTTAGGATGTACGGGTTTGGTAGGTGGTTCGAATTATGTTGGCCGAGCACTTGTTCAGAAACTTAGCTTACGCAGGACGGTAAACGGGCGTCGCTGGATCACGGGACCTATCTAAGGATATGTCTCGTGTGAAAGTTCACAGCAGAATACCTGGTAATAAGATATATGGGAGTTTCCGAAAATAGGGGACCCTAATATAGTACCCCAAATAGTAGGATCCTTATTATAAGGACCCCAAGATAAGGTACCCCCATTTTCGGAAACTCCCATATTTAAGTTCCTCACAATGCCAACAACCCTTGCAGCACCCATACCCAACCCTGTCAGGCCCCTATCAACTGCTATGGAACTCCATCAGTAATGCAGTACACCACACCGGTTATACCAAAAAAAGCATTATGATAGTATCCTAGACCCTGAACCCTAGACTGAAATTCCTGCACAGAAACCCAGAAGTCCTTCAAGAGAAGCTCATCGAACCTTTGTAAGCCCTTCTTATGAGGGCTTGAACTCAGATTCCTTCTTCAAGAACCCTGTTGAGCCCAAGCCCTAACTAGAGCCCAGCAGCTCAAAGACAAGCTGAGTCCATGTTAAGACCCGCTCCGCAGAAGAGTCGTCCAAAGTCAGCGTCGCCTTCTCCGTTGCCTCGCGATAAGGTTTCTTTTGGGTTAGGTTATAAGGTAAAAAGGTAAAGGGGATAGGGTTTTGTAGGGTATCTTGCATCGAGTTTTAGGCTTGGTGTTTGGCTTGGGACTTGATGTTGTGGGTTGTGGGCTTGCGGCTAAGAGTTTCTTCTTGGTGGCATCACGAAACCCTAAACTACCTAAACGTAAACTGCAAACCAGTAAACCCTAAATCCGAAACCCCAAACCTCAATCCTAAACCCTAAACGGCCCTAAACCCTAAACCCTAAAGCCCTAAAGCCGTTCCCTAACCTCTCAAACGCTAAACCCAGGCCCTAAACCTGCTCAGCGGCCTCACAGTAGTCAGCAGAAGTGATGGCCATGTCCATGTAACCCTCCTTGCCCAGCAATGC